TTGCTGTGTCGATGCGCTAAGATGGAATTTCTGTGCTAGTAAGAAGATGCTAGGGATGTAATTCATCTTCTTCTTTAAGTCTAGACAAGACCATCTATGGACTCTTTTCTTCGCAACAGCTCCGGGCTCTAAGCCCTAGTCGTCGATCAGGCCTATATATTGTAATAGAAGAACCAGACCAGCTCAGTAGCGACCTACCCTCCAAAGCCGAGTATATCCACCCTAGGATCTCCCACATTCAGGGTGCAAGTCGGTGGCAGGCTTGTGGTGGGCTCTAAATTGTTTGCTGTCTGAAGGGCTATCTGATACACCGCAGTGCCTCTTCAATCACCTCCTCCCATGTTGCTCTTCCGACGACTGCCCCAGCTGGAGCCGTCAAGCTATCCGCAGCTGGTCTCTGTCATCCATGGAGATACCCCCATCCCAATGCGGGTGGTCATTTGCGGCTCAAGCAGTCCATTGGCATTGGCAGACAAGGAGAACATGGGGATATTGAAACATGAGTAAATTGATGCAGCTGGACCAACAACCTTACTCAACACCGAAAAATGCTCTCCTCTGAAGAAATTAGCGAGATCGCAGATGTTAGATTGAACCCCTACCAGTCTTCTCTATTACCTAGCCAAGTCAACCTATACCTCCCCAAGTCTCAGGTCGCTAACACCACTCGGCTTTTCGCATACCCAGACAATATGGTGAAGTTGGCGCGTTGCGTTTGGGACGAGGCTGCTGCACGATGTGTTACACATGAAGCTAATAGCGATTGACGGCGACTGAATCCCACCAGGGTACATCACGCGGAACCGTACGTATGAGCATTTTGTTCATGCCCGTTTCAATCTAGCTCGTACGAGCTCGGCCTGGAGATGGTATGCTACTTTTTATTGGCCATTAGGTGCATTCGTAAGCAGACCTCAAGCTCCTGCCTACGAAAACCACGATCGACGGTCCAACGCTAGTTCGTTCGTCGTATAAGAACAACGACAGGAGCTTAGGATGCTAGATAGCTGGCTAAAGTATTGTCCAGGTGCGGCGAGGAGCGCTAGCATTTCGAAACCCGCATACTCAGCTTGAAGCGGGCTAGGAAGATTGATCTCCATATGGCGTAGGGGGGAGCAGCTTCACGTAAGCGCTCCTTTGAGGAACTTTGTCAGCCTACTATAGGCCTCCAGCTCTGCAATAATAAGGGGCCATCGTTCTACAGGAGCTGTTAAGTATACGCGACGATGTGCTACACATACGATAGTAGCTTTTGCGCGTAGCGCATTGCACCGCCTCCAGATAATCTCTTGGAGTAAAACGACTTGCAGACGTAAATAGGAAACGGCGAACGACACACTTCGCTACCCACATGCTAGTACACTGCCATCAAATCCTTCAAAGTCTCTACCATTTCTTCCCAGACGAACTATATCGCTTTGACAGTTTAACAGCTTGACAGTTAGATACTTCGACGCTTTGATGCTTCGTTTCAGGCATTCGTCAATCAGGGGCAAAGAGCACCCACTTGGAGGATCGTGTGCTAGCTCCCTCCAGCGATTTCCCTTTACCAAGAAGTTCTCACCCCCAAGCTACTCTTGCGTGGAGCGCGCGGCGATCTCTCCCGTCGCTCCCGCGACCGCTCTCTTCTAGTTGAGAAGCTAGGCATCAAGACAACGTAGCGCGAGCTCCATACCGCCGCAGAGCGCGTGAGAGGTATTCAACGCGCTCGTTTTAAGGCAGACTGAAGTGTTCTACACCAGACAATAAGCCAACCTTCCTACTGCCAGCCAATAGCATCTCCACCCCCAAATAACTCAACTTCAAGATCAAAGGCCAGTTCGCAGCGCCATGTTGTATTCCTAGGCTTCTAATACATCCTACGAGGCTCAGCAGGCTTCACCATAATTTCAAGATACCAAACCATTGTATCCATGCCCTGTCCACCAAGCCTACGCGTAAATTCAGGGTAAGGCATGCCAGTGCCAATTAGAGGCAACGAGCCTGCGCCCATGCCATGGCCACGTGAAGCCGAAGATATAGAGCGAAAAGTCCTTAAGGTTGTGCTAGGTTAGCAATAAAGTCCTCTGCAATAATAGCTCTTGCAGTAATAATATAATAGGGAACACAATAGAACGTGATGGAACATAATAGAACATGATAGAACCCGATAGGGAACCCAATAAAAACTAAAAGGGAGGGTGCAATTCTATAGCATACCCTAGGGTAGCAAGCTAGGGGTGGCCTATCGTAGGATGTAGGTGCTACCTGCTGTTAGCAGACGTGGCTAGAATGAAGATAACTATGTCCTGGTGCCTGCGAGCAGGATCGTTCTTCAAACGTCTAGCTCGTAACAATACAGAGCCTAGTCGTAAGTCTCTAGAACACACAGCGGAAGAATTGCGTGGATAGACAGGGCTGCATTTAGACGGCAATGAAAATAGGATTACCTTGGGCTACGGCGATAGTAAGGATTTTCTTCCTTTCCTTCAAATCACTTCGCTTATCTTCATTCCTTCTTTTTCCGAGACCCCGGACGCCGTGATCATCCTAAGACGAGATGATTCGCGAACTTACTCGACTGCGACACCATCCTCAACAAGAAAGGCTGTTGAGGAAGGCTGTTGATGGGCTTAAGGTCGTGATGATCTCATCCAGAGGCTGTCATCGGCGATCTGCGTCCACGATGCCCTTGTCTACGCGTCTTTCGACGCGTTGGAGCATACGTGAGGAAAGGCTACGAATTGTAAGCATGAGCGTGAGGTTAAGAGGCGGTGAAAGGAGATAAGGCTACTTTCTAGTGAAGCTACAATCTCGGTGGATGGATCACGAAGCCTCCCGGCGCTGTAGATCTTCATGAAGACGCAGTCCACTGGCATCTTGTCATTCCTAAGCGCAAGCTCGCCATGTTGTTGGTGTGATAGCCCAGTCGAACAGTCTGGCTTGGCAAGTCCTCCAGCTGAACACAAGATATGTGAGACAGTCGTGGGGGTATTGTTCTAGATTGATGGCATAGATACCTTACCAGCGGATTCCGTCTTCATAACGGTGGATGTGCTCGTGAGTGTGATGGCATACGGCGCCGTTTCGGGTCAAGCGTTAACTCTATTCCCTGCCTCGACGATGCTCGACAGGGTTAGAACTGGCATAGGCGGAAGTTACGAGCCCCTTCTTGCGGGCGTAGTCGTGGTTATCGATAACATCGGCTAGGTGGTGGTGCAAGCCGGCAGTGATGTAGAATCTCCCCCCTGTGCAGGGTAAGATCCTGTGACCTTTAAGAACTAGAGCTGCACACTAAGAAGATGGAGGAGGAGACGCTAATTAAGGAGCAGCTGCGTATTAACGAGGGGTTACATATTGGGAAGACAAGACTATCCCAAGGATTGAAGACTCGATTAGCAAGGAAAAACTGAGACAGATCATGCTGCTGCCTGAGCTCGAGATCCATTTGGCACCCACTCCCACAAAAACTCCACCAAGATCTAGGGGGGCGGAGGGGGGGATTCAGATCGCGTGCTGCATTTCGAGGGCGGGAGTGTAATGGTTTGGAAAGCCTTCAGTGACAAGCCCAGCCTTACCAGCTGTGATGAGGTACAATCTCCCATGCCGTATAGTTACTCCCACCCTACCTCCTAAACTTCTCCTTACGTATAGCTCGTTCGCCCCCTTCAGCGTGGCTTTAATCGGCACGGTGCAATCGGCCACACGAATGTACCGCATATCCAGACGGCGAGCTTACAGCCGCCACTAACGGATTTCGCAACGAGACGAAGTAGGGCATAAGCATATGTTTGCTACTCTTAGAAAGGTCCGCAGCTCTGCTAACTTCGAAATTGTCGTTAATGGACCGCAGTTTTACATGTTTAAACTCGATTGGAAAGCGTATATTAATAACAGGTTCCTTGCATCAGACCGCTCCTGAAGCCCCATGGATAAATAATCACGAATTTCTTTTAGGTCCTTCGTTGACATCGCGGCATCTACTACACTTTCGAAAATGGTTACGCTTTGGCTTCTAAGATTAGGCTATAACCCGCTCTCGCATCCATGTTTCTGCTAGGGTTGTCCACTTTCACCCATGTCTTTTCTCGCAACGTGTTGGCGGCAAGCAAAGCAGATAGAGGGAGAAGACGTCGTGGCGATAGGTAGTGCCATAGGGACTTCATGGGCATGTGGCGGAGGACGGCTTCGTCAACATCATAGGTGTAGTCTCTGGCGCCGACGATAGAGATTCCTTAAGGCGTGGTAGAGCTGGTATAGATCGTAGCCGTAAGGCCGTCCTAGTAGATCGAAGTAATACCTTCTACTAAGGTCTACCCTCTTTTCTTCTTTTAAAGTCTCTCGTGTCTATTACAGGGCAAGCGCAGGACGTTAGGTCGCCGTCGAGGCACCTAATAGCGAGCAGCGGATGCTATCGCAGTAGACTAGGTAAATAGTAGTTACATTTGCGCACGTTGTTTCTTGCTTCGCTCCTCTAGACCTCTCTAAAACGAGGAGACAGCAATTATATAGCTTATTATTTAGCATCCTATCTAGATAAAGACGTAAACGGGAACGACAAACTGCTCTCTAATATTAATTCTAACTATGATGGCGAAAGTCCTCCCCCTTACCTTGAGTAAAGACTTCGGCTTATCCACTTCCTCTTAGATTACGCATGGCAAGTCGAGAACCATGGCGTGACTAGTTTTTAGCGGCGGCGGCGGCGGAAGTCTGTTGTAGGAAAAGCCTAATAGCGGCGGCTCTGAGGCTTAGGACCATCTACACGATGTGGCCCCGCTTTTAATGTACACCTAGTTCCTATCGACTCTAACCTGCTGCCATGCTAGAGGTTACTTTTGGATAAAACTAGTTACTTAAGGAGCAAGGAGGGCGAGATTAGCTGGACACGTGTAGTCACGGAGCCGTTCTTTAGGGTTGAATATTGCGAACGAGACTGCAAAGTTTAGTAACGAGGGATAAGCGCCACTCCCAGCTATTAATTCCCGCTAAATCGGCCCTGCATAAGCGTTAGCCAGATCCTACGTCCCTCGTTGGACAGTCGACGCGCCAACCATAGCGACGCAATAGCTCAGCGAAAATCGGCCTTTCTCTATCCGTGCTAGCTCGTGATCTAGAACGCGTTTGCGAAGCTTATTGTGGGAACGTATACTAGCTAGAAGTAGGTACGGTGGAGGATCTCGTTCTAGATTAGTATTTTGGTAGAGCACATCCATGGCTGGGAAGGCTGCAAAGGTGCCGCCATTGCTGATATTAGACCTATGTCTGAATAGCAACTCATCGAGCTCTTGTGGCGTGGCTGATTCTCTCCTCGTAAGGGGATCTGCTTGTGAGACGATCACGAATGAGAAACGTAAACGACGACCTTCTTTAGTAGATGCTCTAGATGATGCGGCACCAGCGGTTAATAGCTCCTTGATGAGGTTAGAGGTAGCGAGAAGCTATTGGTCTTCGTTTTGCAGGGTTCTGGGATCGCCAACGGTCTTCTCTTTGGGGCTCCGAAGGCCTTCGCCTTACCAGTCGAACAGCTTCCTCTTATTCTGGGCCCACATCTTCGTCTGTTCCTCTGGATTTACCTCTAAAACGGCTAGATCCTTAGATATCCAATCATCCAGGAACTCTACAACGTAGAAGTCCATCCTAATAATCTTACCTAGACAGAGACAGCATGCCTTAGGCAGCCTCCTCCTCTTCCTTCTTTCCAGCTTCTCCCTCCTGACATATCACAGTCCTGCCTGATATCCTTCCCCACGAAACGCTTTCCACCTTATCAAGCTGAAACCAAGCATGAGCGGGGAGAATAGAGACCCCGGACGCATTTGCGCGTCGTCGTTTAGCGTCGTTCGGCATCTCTAGGATGTGGTCTGAGGCTGCTAACGCTAAAGGGCTGCTCTGGGTTCAAGAGGCGGGATTGTGAAATATTGGAGATCGAGACGATCATAGTTCGAACGATGGAAGGGCTCTAATCTAATTTAAGACATTACTACCTCTCCTTAATACGGGGAGGAAGTCTGAGTCGTAAGCTTTCGGGAGCAAAAGGATCTAATCCTTCTGCTCTTTTAGTTATAACGCCTTTACATATCCGCTAACATAAACGGTACGGAGATAACGCGCCATGAAAGAAGTCGCGGCAAGGGTATGCTAGAAATTACCTAGCGTCCATAGATGGACCAGCTGGAAGTAGTGTTGGAAATCTAAGGCTCTCGTGAAGATTAAGGCTCGGCTTACGCACCTAACAGAACATCAGCGAAAGGATTTACTCTGCCAACATTCCAAGAGAGGTGGGTGCTAGCTCATCGAAGATGGCCTCGATTGAGTGTTTGCCATCGTCGACGCGTTCTTGTTCTTTAGTCGTAGTGGAGGAGTATTCCACATGCATGTCTAGAAGTCGACGTCCATGGCTCCACATTACTATGTTCCTTTCGTATGCTTTCTCCACCACTAGCTAGCACACCAACAGCTGCTTCGGCGCTTAATATGGCACGGGACGTCTTCATGAGGCATGGCGGAGGTGGCCACCACCAGTTCGATGCCCTTTTCTTGGGAGATAGACAATCGGCAATCCCGAGCTCGTTTCTCTTCGACTTCTTATGGTCAGGGAGTTCTGTTAGCGCTGCAATGCTCGGGCCCTGTGGCAATGTTGACTTGCTGAGTGATTTCGACGTGGTCGGGCTTGCCTCGTAGCGATGCTTCGTCAGATAAGAGAGTCCGGCTAGGAGAGAGGCCGAGACCGTGGGAAAGGCTACGTCGATGGTGAGGTACTACGTGAATAGTATCCTCGGCCTTCTGGTTAGCAGGTTGAATCAGATCATGGCCAGAAAGAGTGAGCAGTTGACCAGGCAAGAATAAATGATTCTCGTAAATATTAGGCGAGGATCCGGTGTAGCGCAAGGACAGGGCAGGCCCTGAGGAGGCTGGTCCGGCTGGTCTGGCTAGTCGGGCCTCGGTTCAGGGTCTGGCCTCAGCTGGGTTGAGCACTAGAGAGTGGAGTATTAGTGCAGTTGCATTATGCATGCCTCCTAATTAGCAGAGGCTTATCCCGCTCGTCTGGTTCTGCGTGACGAAAGGGCTGCCGATAGCCACGCGAGAGAACGATGAATCGGTTATATTAGTAGAGTTAGGCTTTCGGAACTTAACGATATCAATCTGCCTGTGTATAACTAGCACATCATGTCATAGATCTTCCACATTGTGGGCATACTAGCTGCATTCGTAGGACGTTCCGCGGGGCACGGGATAAGTATTGCTGCTCGAACCGGCGCGGAGATCTTAGTGGTAGGGGAGTCCATAGTCGGTATTTGCTGATGTGGAGATGAATCGAGGGTATGCCATATCTCGTGGTAATTGGCGCTCGGGCGGCGGAGTGATGGGCGAGTGTGATCGACTCGATCGATTCCGAGAGCGCCGAAGTGCGGTGAGCGGCGGATGCGTCTACGGGTAATGATGATATCAACATGGGACAAGGTAAGGACTCGAAGGAATTTGTCGGCACTATGTAGTTGCTGCACGCCACTTCCGCTTCCTATCTCTCGGACCCGACTCCCCCGCATTAGGCCTCGCAATATCCTGCGTTCGTAACGTACGAGTGTTATAAGGTTGTCTGTTCTTCAATGAGACGTGGTGGAGACGGGAGTAGAGAAAGCCGTGGCGGTGCCAAGCCGCTAAACTGACGCTAGGCTCATCCTGTCCGACAAGCCACACCCCATCAGACAAGCCACAACCGGGAGAAATTTTCGTACACAACCTCTGCCAGATGGCAACGGCGGCGAAGAGACACGAGTATGCGGTTTATCGAATTGAATACGGCGTGCAGTCGCCGTGTTGAGGGACGGGAGCGGTAACATCGATGCGGCGGGTTCCTTAAGACGCAAACAAAGTCAACCTCACTCCCCAACCACCGCGCCCGCACAATGGAATGCTCTCATGCTGTACCCCGACGCTGACACTCCGGCTGGCATCGTAGACGAGTGCCTCGCTCGCCTCGGAGGCGCCGACGTCGCCGCCGCGAAGCGGTGCTTCCAGCAGACTCTCACCGCGCTGCAACAGCACCGTCCTCTCGTCGCCCGCCAACGCTCGCGCAAGGCGAAGGAAGCCTTCTCCGCCGCCATCGAACGCTTCTGGGTCGCCGCCGTCTACGCCTCGCTCCCGCACTACTACCGGTTCTCGCTCAACAAGCTTGTCGAATCCTTCGGGAAGGATGCGGACGTCGACATCGTGAGCTCCAGCCGCAAGATCGTGAACCTCGAGCGCATCTGCGCAGCCTGGGGCGCCGACGCCCTCACCACCCTCCGCTCCCTCTTGCCCGCGCGCCTGCCCTCTGAACCCGCCTTCAACTTCCTCGAGGCGCTCGTCAAGATCGCCGAAGCCCAGGACTTCGTCGTCTTCTGCGCCGACTTCCCGCCCTTCCTCAACGACTGCATCAACAACGCGCGCACGAAGAATTACCGCCAGGCCCTCCAGGCTCGCGGCGCCGCCGTCGTCACTCGCGCCGACCTGCACGCATACTACCTAGCGCAAGTCGAGCCCTCCATCGAGCTCAAGCCACCGAAGAAGCGACGCAAGACCGAGGTCAGCCCCGTCGAGCTCCCGCGCCGCGCGCCCCAAGCCTCGCTCTCCGACACCACCGATGACGAGATACATGTGGATACGGAGGATACCGAGAACGAGCTAGTAGACAAGGAGGGGACAACGCTGGACGAGCTGCGGGATACGGGTTCGAGTGGACAAGAGCTTGGGCTTGGAGATACAGGCTTGAGCGAGCAGGACTTGGGGGACGGGGATACAGGCTTGAGTGGGCAGGACTTGCGCGACGGAGATATAGGCTTCGGTGAGCACCGCGCTCGGTTCGACGAAAGCCCCGGCTTCCGGCTTGACGAAGAGGAGAGCATTTGGAACGGCTACGGCTTCACAGGCCCTGATCCTACTGACGACGACGGCCCATCCCGTAGTCAAGACGAGCCCAACGCGCCTGACACCGGCTTCACACGCCCCGATCCCACCGACGACGACGCACCGCTTCGCCAGTTGGAGCCTGACCAGCCTGACACCAGCTCCATGGGCCGGCGATCCTCCTCGGCAGACGATGAAGACTACGATGCTATGCTGCAGAACTTCCGCTCCTCGCTCCTCTCCGCCTCCGCGTCGGAAGCCTGCCGCGGCCCCGTGCAGTACCTAATCGACACATGCGCTAATATCGCCAAGAGGAAGAAGGACTGGCAGGAGGCACGGGCAGAAGAAGAGAAGGCTGCGAACGAGCATGTGGACATCGTCCGGCGGATGGCGGAGGCTTCGTTTCCTGACATGACGTGCGACGCATCCATCGAGCAGTGCAAGAAGAAGCTCGCGAGCATGGCCGCGCTGCGGCAGACGTTCGACGAGCTGCAGGCTATGAAGGCGAAGTTCGACTCGCAGATCCAGTCCGCCGGCCTGGGCGATGCGTACCAAGTCCACACCGAGGCTAACACGGCGCGGCACGACGCGGCGGAAGCCAGCGTCAGGAAGCAAATACAGCTGCTAGAGGGACTAAAGGCGGAGGTCGCGGAGAAGGAAACGGCGGTCAGGACGGCGACGCAGGCGAAGGAGCGCGCCGAGGAGATGTATGTGCAGCTGAGGGATAAGTTCCGCAAGGTGCAGCAGCTGTTTAGTATAGCGGGCAAGCAGGTCAGGTATGCGGATGTGGGGAGGACTGAGATAGCGCCGACTCCTAAGTAATAACATGCGAGGAAATGATATATGTTCCCTATCGAACTGCTCCAGGTCATGAGTGTTACCCTACGGATTGGATCTTGCACTAATCGAAGACAACCACCCTGCCTGGGCAATGAATCCCCACGAAATACAGGAAATCCGAATGCGACATTCCTCCCCATGGATGAGCTAAGGGCATGCACCTGATTGCATTTTTTTCTAAGAGGTGGTGAGTGTGGTAGTTGTGCGTGGTGTGTAAAGTATGTGCGTAAGGGTGAATCTCTTATGTTAACGAAAAGTAAGATAGCATTCGTACATTATTAAACTTAGAGAGATGGTAGGAGGTTGTACGTGCGATAGTCTCGCGCTTTCTTGCTTCGTAGACGAGAACGTTTTGGAAGGGTTTCGTTAACGCCGCCAGTTAATTAATAGGGGAGGCAGAACGGGCCCTCATGCTGCGTCGACGCCATGTGAACGCAACGCACGCAAAATATCGTTCTAGGAATTGGATATTATGATCCCCATGGCCGATCTCGAGTAGCACGATAGAAATTAGAAGATTCTGACGTGGTTTGCGAACTGCATGGCTAAGGGGTTAAGGGTTTAGGAGTCGAGGCTAGAAAAAGGGGGGGGGGGGGGGGGGGG